GAGGAATAACATATTTAATAAACGGTTCTATTATATGATCAATATAGTATCGACTGGTAATTGTTGAACCATGCTCAATAAAATGTAACTGAGTTTTACCATGTGTGCTTACACCGATCTATACCAGCACAGCCACCGGATATAAATCATTTCGTTCGATTTTTTTAACTTCTTCTGGTAATCCATCACTTCTGACATAATATATATCTCTAACATCTTGACTTGCATTGAGATAAAACCATGCTTCGTCGGTAGTTACATAACTTCTATATTTTTCATTGCATAATCGACGATACATACGCCAAACTCGAGATCGTCTCTTTTCAATGACAGCTGGATATAAACGATGTACCGGCCTTTTTTTACCATGTGTTGCATGGATAATATCACGAATAATACTAACAGCAGTACCAACACTAATACTACACCTTGCAGCCATTAACAAGATTGTTGGAAGATTTTCTTAACTTATATATGACGTAATACGACGAACAGTTGCAGGTGTCGCTACATGACGGCAACGATAAAATTTTGGTTTTTGATTATTTAATAAACCTAACCGGCACTCTTTTCCAAGTTTGTTAGCAATACGACTAATAGTACTTTTTGATACATTAAGATTCATTTCAGATAATTCTTGTTGTATCACAGAATACGAACACTTTTTCGTCAAAAGATATTTGACGACCCCTTCGATATTATCAGATATTTTATTACGAGGCATTCGTTTATCTAAAATATAAATATCATGACAGCATCTAGAGTGTCAGGGGAATAAACTGATATGAGAACCATGTGATTTGTATTAGTTAATAACGAAGAAAAACTGAATGCAAATCGTTTCAAAATAAACTGAACGACCTGTACAAGCGGCTGAAATGAAATTTTTCAGGAGAGCAACTGGCCGAATACTACAAGACAACATTCGCAGTTTGGATATTTAGAACATGTCTTGAGAATGCCACATGAGAAACTTTTCGACGCAATATTTCATATCATACTCATGAAGAAGGGGCCCGTCGGACGTCCACGAAACAGCCAGTAGAAACACATTGAGAAGCTTTGTCCGGAACATTTAGACTTTGGATCAATCGAAGTGTCCTATGCAACGAAAGGTCAAAATAGATGTAAATCACTATTGTGAACAAGGTTAAGCTCTGGCAGGACAAAACCAGGAGAAAGAAAATACATGAATATTCTGATAGATCTAAATAGTTGAATACTTATGATTTGTAATATAAAAAATTACGAAAAATTATTAAATATTAGCAAATAAATATCATTTTTATCAATATGAATTTATTTTCTCAAATCCGATTTTTCTTCAACGGGATCTGCAATTAACAGACACAATGCTACCATTCATAGGAAATAGTTCAATAATGAAATTGCTATGTTAATGTTAAACTATTCGATGAGAACCTAAAGTTTGTCAATCTGATCATTCTATTCATTATTCTTCTGTTGCTGAATCAGATTCTAAATCAGTTGATATAGGTGCTTCATTCATGTTCCCATCTCCATCGATACTTGAACAATAAGTTATAGCATAATTCAAACGATCATACATGATATCTATCGTTGAATAATCAGGTAAATCAAGTACAAAAGTACATGTATGAGCTCCTAAAATTGGAAAAAAATGCATCGATGAATTTTTCAGTATACAATTGTCAATAACAAAGGCTAAGAAAATCTATTGCAAAAATATTAAAAACTATTTCTGTACGACATTTTTTTATGAAGTATAAAAAGAATCTTAATGTCATTATTATTAAAGCAAAGTATATGTGACTTACTTGGCAGTGCTCCATCGATGAATTCATTGGATAGAATATATGGTTCAATGCGAAATTTTGTTCCAAAGTCATCATCACAATTTGGTAATGTACATCGTCCCCAAACAAATTTTAAAAACAATTTTTTCTGTTCTTCATTGAATATTTCTCTTAGAATTGTCCATAATCGTTGAATAGATGGTGAATCTTTATTGTAATGACCACCGTATGAGGTATTTCTTTTTAATAATTCCACATCCATCTCTCCTTTTCCACATATCATTTCTTCAAGTTCACTAGCTGTAAACAAAACTAAAAAATAACCTGGAACAACGCTATATAAACCTTGACGAATACATTCAATTTGTCGATGAAATTCATTTAAACGATATTCACGATAACATGAACAATAGTCTTTAAAATTAGAAATTGCTATTGGAATATGTTTACCATTCGGAACGAGTTCATAAGTTGGTCCATTTGAACTTACAACTTCAAATCGAAGTTCATCTAAAATACTACTAAGAAATTCATTTGTATCAATTGATGAATTATTTTGTTTTATAGTTTTTTCCATTTCATTAATCATTGTAAAACTTTGTACATCAATATTTTCAATATCTTCAATAGTTATTTGTTCTCGAACTAATTGTTTCCATAATAAGCTAGAAAATTTTAAATATAAATAATGTTTCTTTCGTATAGCCATACCCATTAATTGTCCAATAAATTGATATTGTTTTTTTATTCGATTTGGAATTGATTCATTTGGTGGAAATATATTCGGAATCCAACGATCATCATTTAAACCACTATTTGTTCGTCCATTTGGACATAATATAAATAATGATAATCGTGTACTACATATATCAGAACAAATACATGTTACAGAATCACGAAATGGTCCACCTTGATCAGTACTATGCATAGCAAGATATTGTGCACGCCATACTTGATCATATTCTTTTCGAAATGTTATATGTGCATTATTATGTAATTGTTCATAAGCTTGATTAAACATTGTATATGTTGTATTTGAACTTGCTTTAACTGTATCGAAATTAACTGTCGGAATATCATTATCTGTTTCTAATGACGTTATGGTTACAGTTGTATCGAAAAGTTTAGATTTTGTTTCGTATAAAATATATGATTTTATTTTTTGAATATTATCTGTAAGAATACTTTGTCCAGGATATAGACTAAGATCAATAAATGCAACTAATTTTTCTAAGATTATATTTAATTCATAGATAATTTTAGCACGAATTTGAATAGAGATAGCTGGAATATGCCATAATGATGGATAACTTCTGTAATATGATGAATTAGATATAGATTCAGTTGGTAAACTATGAATAAATTCAATAAAAGATATTTTTAAAAGTTGATTATTATTCATAAAATGAATTAATTGTAAATCAGATATTGTATCAAAATGATTATTTGATTTTTCAATATCATCTCTAGTTAATTGAAGATTTTCACCTAATAAGATAATTGATTGTATTATAAACATGTCTGGAAATGATGTTTGTTTTGTTTTATCAGTTAAAGCTTTAATAACATCAATCATTAATATTAAATCATGAAAACTTTTAGGTAATTTAAATACTAATTCATTGATTGTATCTATTGATGTTAATTGATATTTTTGTCTTTCAACTAAGAGATAAACTAAATCCATAATAGCTATTTGAAATGTTCTCATTGTTTGAGTATTTATTGAAGTAGAATTTGGTGGTAATTCAGTAAATAAATGAAATAAAAAATTTTGAATATTTTTGTTTAAATTAAAATTATGACTTGTTTGAATTAGACTAAAAAGAAAAGTTTCTAATGATTATATGTTTTACAGACATTTAAACGATATAGGCAAAGTCATACTAGATCTATGTGCATGGTATCGTTAAAACTAGAACGAAAGAATTTTTTGATCAGACTCAAAACTACATCAACAACTAATATAGTTAACTATTTCTAAATTATAGACAAAGAGTAAGAAAAATATCAAAAATCATCTCACAAAATTTGTGCCAATAAGAATCGATTCCTACAGACTAACGCCGATTAAACTAATTTTTTTGCTTATAAGTAAGCTTCAGTGTGATTACTCATGTTGTACGTTTGTTCATACTACTGCCGATTAGCCGCTACCGTAGCGCATATTATATTGAACGATCTACTGACGATTTTTCTCCATGTTTGAATTGTATAGGATGTGAAAACCAGAAAGGATACTTTTACAAAGTTATGTCTATGTTGATTAGTTGTCAGCATCGGAACATAGCATTGAAGATCGGTGAATATATCAGATTTTATTTTGATTATAGTACAAGAAATAATTTTTTGAAAATCAGCGGTAAATCGTATTTGAACATTGATTTCAGTAACTGACTGCCAATCGTCAATTGATTAGAGAAATATTCCAAGATATATATATATAATTGAGAGTAAAATCTAATTTCTAGATATGTTTTAACTCTAATCATTGGGGTTTGAAACAAAAAGAAAGCCTTGTTTCGATTTATTTCAAAAAATATTTTTAATAATATTGATAATTTCAGTTATGTTTTCAAATCAAATAATTTTTCAATTAGAGTTAGATGAGTTCTTCAATCCTAGATTCGGTCTTCTATCGTCATTCGTTTAGTACTGCTTTTTAATTACGATATCTATTGAAAATATAAATATTTGTATACAAAACACTTTTTCTGTCGATTTTGTTCTCAGTCAACAATAAGAAATTGCATAGGCCATCGATATTTTCTATTTCTATTACATGGTTAATGATTCATCGCAAATATTTAAGCTTTTTCAAGAATATGAGCCATAACTTTGAGAAGGCAGTCCAAGAGTCTTTGTTCTTTCAGACTTTTATTCGTCTTCCTGAAACTTACTTATTAGCAAAATATTTTAAAATTATTTATTAATGAGAAAAATAAAGATTCGACTTACGTAGAAAATAAACGTAGAATAATACTTTTATTTTCATGTTTAGGATTTAAAATAAATAGATTGAATAATACATTGATTAAAGATTCTGGAAATAATAATGAAATTAATACATCAATATCTTCTTGTTTTATTGTTGATTTTTCAGAAATTAATTTAACAAATAATTGAACTAGTTTAAGAATAAATTTAAAATTTGGTTTTTCAATTTCATATTCATCATTATTTTCTAAGATTAATAATGATGGATCAATGCAAATTTTAATTGATTGAATCATAATATCTTTTTGTAAATGATAAAGTAATGGTGCTTTGGATTGTAAAATATCATAAGTTATATTATTATGTTTTATTTTATAATATTTAATTAATTCATTTAATTCAATTTTAATAATCGAATTTATTAATAAACTCATACGATCAATAGTTTCATCTGTATGTAAACGTGTATATCTATAATGATAGTCTAATAATCGTAATAGTTTAACAATAAATTTACAATCACCAAATTTTTCTAATGGAAATAAAGATGATCCATCATAAGACCAAATTCTTAACATATTTAAAATTATATAATGTGAATAGATTGCAATTAATCGATATTCACAAGAAATACGAGATTCATGATATTTTAGTTGAGTCATATCTAGATATTTCCATTGATTATCATTGATTAGTATTGATTTTTCTTGAATAGATTGATTTAAATCAATTAATTGATAAATAAGATCAGTTTGTTCAGTTATTTGTGATTTATCTTGAATCCATTCAGTAAGATTATTATTAATATTTAAATGATCAATTGTTTGTTGAAACCAATTTTTATCGATTGATAATGGTGATAATATTTGAATATCATTCCAATGAATAAATAATACTTCAGCAAGATTTATTACTTTTTCTTCAGTATCAAATTGAGAAAATTCAAATAAATCTTTTAATTTTTCTTGATTAATTGAAAATCCAAGTTTTGATAAAATATTTTCATTATATTTATTAAATTTTTTTTCACGTAAAATTGTATCAATTAATTGAATATTTCTAGTTATAGTTTGTTTCATAGCAAGTTTTATTGATAATTCATCATATCCAATACGAATTAAACTTGGTGAAATAATTGAATATGATAATGTAACTAAACTTTCTAATGAATTATTTGCTGATGTCATTTTTTCATTAATTTCATTTATTGCTTTATTTAGATAAGTTATTGATTTACATTCGATTCGAAGTGTATCTTCACTAATTATGTTTTTTGTTAAATCTAATTCTTTAAATAGATCAATTCGTTTATCTTTTATTATCAATTGATTATTGTCTAGATTTGCATCAAGATTTAATAATCCATTAATATAGATTTTAATAGATTTATCATGAACAGAAATTATTAAACGTATATATTCATTTAAATTCAATTTTAATTCACTTTGAATAGTTTTTTCATTATTAATCAATATATAAAGTTGACCATCATGTGTTATACATATTTCTGTTTGTGTATTTAATCTAACTAATGTTATTGGTAAGTAATTAATAGATATATCAAAAATGAGTGTATATTCAAGCCATGGGTCAATTGATTTATCTAAAACAAAATAAGTTTTATTTCCAAATAATTGTATATTTCCATTGTTTGTATTAAAATATTTTGATTCATCTTCATCAGATTCTATTTTCTTTTTCTCCCATTTAATCTCATCAAATGATTCATTAAATGGAATAAGTAAATCATTTTCAAAATATTGTTGATTCGTAGTAAATGTAAGTGTATTTACTTGTTTTTGATATTGATTTAATCGATAATAATCAATTGCAACATAGGATAAACCAGAAGTAAATAAACGTTGAATATGTTCTTCAGATAATGCATATTTCCAAATAGCAAAATTTTGAATTCCAACAGATATTATTGGTAGAATATGAATATTAAATTTTGTTATAATTGGACAGTCGAATATTCGACATTCATTATTAATATAGACTTTTATCTTTCGTTCATTTGTTTGAATTACAATTGCTATTTGTGTATTATTCGTAATTTTATTAATTGGTATTCGTATTGAATATGTATCTTGTATGTTAAATGTTAATAATGAAATATCAAAATAATCATTAGGAATCTTTAAAATTGAAAAATTAAAACTAATTGTTAATGATTCATTATAATCTATAGTTAATGGAAAACCTTGACTTTGTTCTGTTAATATTAATTGATGATTATCTAATATAAATTTACATTCAAGATGATGATTATTAATAAAATCACGTAAAAATTGAATTGATTTATTATTTCGTTTGTGAATAGTATAATCTTCTATTTTAGTACCAATTAAATAAGCATTAAATGGATAAGGAACAAATAAATCATCAATATCTAATAGAGTCGGAACTACTAATGGTTTATAACCGTTTGGTAATGGACATTCAAACATATCCATTGGATGAAATATAAATTCATAACTACTTAAAATTGATGTATCATTTACATTTAAACTAACACCAGGAAAATAACTTGTTCGATGTCCATTTGGTAACATATTACATATAGTTGTTGTTGAATTAATTGGTAATTGATGAGCAAAAGCTGTACCTAAAAAATATCCATTTATCCAATAATTAATTCGTATATTATCACCATTAATTTCAATTCCACAACCACAAACATCATTTATACTCCAACGAATATTTTCAAATTCAAATGGATATTGTTCATTATGATAAATCATACCTTGAGATCCATCATATGACCAAGAATATTGATCATTACCTATTCCAATAGAATGATTTGATTTAAATCCATTTGTTGCCCATCCAATACGTACTGATGTTGATTGTAATAATCGAATACAAAAATACCAATTACCTTCAGTTAATTGTAAATTCTCAATAATAAATATAGCTGATAATGCATTCGAATTTTCAGATACTAAATAAACACGTCCTGGAAATCGATGTGTTATACCACATTCTTCTGTAAACCATTTACCAGAAAGTTGAGATGATAATTCTATAATTTTAATTTCATCATTTCCTAATCGACCTTTTTTAAATAATTGAATATCTCTTTTTGACATAGATGATTTCCATTCATTTGTTGATGATAAATCATCTGTTAATAAATCTGTTTTAAATGGAATCTTTGTCCAAATAATAAATTCATCATTATTTGTTTTATTTGTATTATCAAAAATTTGTTTATAATATTTACAACGATCCAAACTTAAACAATATTGTTCTAATTGATGTTTATTTAATAATTGTAAATCTGTTGGTTTTTCAGATGGTTTTAATAATAAAGCTGATATAGATAATTGAGCTATGATTGATATATATGGTTTTTGTATGAAAATATCTACAAGTTTTTTATGATTTAATATTCGATATAAAACCAAAATTGATCGACGTTTTAATTGTAATAATAGTAAAGAATCTATTGTTGATTTATCAATTTGTACAAAATATGCTAATGCATCAAATAACAAATCTATAAATTCATTTGTACCAGTTAATTCAAGAAGATTTGGTGCTGGAACATCTACTTGAATTCTTAATTTATCTTCTCTTATCCATTTAGTTTCATTTGTTTGAATAAATTGAACAAGATAAGGTAATGTATCCGTTGTATTCAAATCACGAACATTTTTATTTATATCAATAATAATTCCCAGTTGAGTTTCATCAATATCATGAATTTCTACAATTGAACCTAAACAAAAAGGTTGAATATAACCTCCTAATATACATAATGATGATAGAACATTATCAATCGATTGAAATAATTTCAAATTAGATGTAATAGTATCTAAAATCAGCTGAATAGCCATTGTTTGCAATGGTGATTTAGATGACATAATAGTTCGATAAAAGTAAATTAATTCAGTGGTTATGTCTGTTGTCGTCTTATTAATTGAAAATAAAATATTCGTTAAAAAATTATTCATCATTAATTTTGATTGTTCATTAAGATCTTCAGATAGAAATATAATTAATTTGCGTAGAATTTTTAATGAAAGCAAACAAGTTATTTGATTTTGACTATTTTGATATAGATAAATTAGTTCTTCAATATATTTATCAGTTGCACAATATGATTGTACATGTTCATAGAAATGAATACATCGTAATAGAATCATTAAATATTGATTAATATAAAGATCAATTTCAAATTTCGTTGATACATTACTTGTGTCTTTTGCTTTTATAAACCATTCAATAGTAACATTATTGAATGAATTTTTTTCGTCTATAACTTTGTTTTCTATATTTATTGAAGATAATTGTTTAAATAATTTTAATTCAGTTAAAATTATTTTATTAAAAATTAATTCTTGTATTTCGTTTAATACTAAATTTGATTCTAATTGGAAATTTTCACAAAATTTCAATACATACAAACGAAACCAATTGTAACTAATAAACTTTATATCAAGATTCGAATTTAAAAATGTATTATTTAAAATTTCAAGAAATTCATTATTATATAAATAATAAATATCTGTTAGTTCATATGATAAATTAAGTAAATAGAACACATTCTGTACTAATGTGACTTGATCAATACTTGTTGATTGTAATAAATAAGAAAAGATTTTTTTAATAATTAAATAATAATTCTTAGTGATATCTTCTTTTAATTGAATATTTGCTGCTGATATATTTTCTAAATATGACCATTCAATATTTGTTTTTCTTAAATATGGTAAATAAATTCTTAAACATGTAAGAATTTGATTTTTATCTTTGTAATCAAATATTTTTTGTATAAATTTATAAATAAATTTATATATTATTAATCTTATCATTGCACGTTCATATTGCCGTGACATACATTGTATTAATTCATTTGATTCAAAGTTTTTTTCATTAAATATATAATTATCAATAGTTCGTCGTAGAATATTTTCATTTTTTTGTTTTTCTTCATTAATTTTCTTTTTTGTTAACATTATTTTTTTAAAACGCGTACAAGCTTGAAACATATTTCTCAATAATCTAAAATCATATTTTTTTATTATTTTTCGTGAATATTGATGTTTTAATTTTGTTTTATTTATTGTTTCATCAATTTCATATTCAATTATTGAAATTAAATTACTTTCTTTAATAGATGTTAACAAAAATAATGTATTCATTTTAATTTGATCATAAAGTTCATCACAATTACCACCTTGTCCTTTTGTTCTAGCAAATAATATATAAACATGTGTAGCATATTCAAAAATAGATAAAAGTTTTTTATGTGGTTTTTTATCATCTGTTCTAGTAAGTTCATATTTAGCTAAATTGATTCGACGAAAAAATTTAATATAAACAGCAAATAAAGCTGCACATGCATGATTAGCTTGTTGTTCTATTGATTTTTGTAATAAATATTGTTTATCTTTGATAAACATTTTTATTTTTGATATTAATTGTGCACCTTGATTAATATTATTATAAATTGACATTAAAAATTCATGATCGAATAATGATTGTTCAAAATTATAATCTGTTGTTTTAAGTTGAATATAATCGACTATATTCGATTCAAATAAATTCAATAGATATTGATTACTTTCGATAGTTAATTTTTCACATCCACCAGCAAACAGAGGAGATTGTAGCTTTTCGATATATTTTATTTCTAATACATTATTTTGTGGACCTCCTATCAAAATATAACTCATTTTACCTAATAGCCAATAAATGTAATGTAGATTATTAGCTATTATATTTTCATTGATTGAATTTTTTAATATAAATTCTGCTAGTAACGGTAAAACATAAGTAATTATTGCTTGAATTGTTGTAAAATTAAAATGTGTTTCTGTCATTAAACCGAGGCCAATAAGAATTGGATTCAATAAATCGTTTACTATTTCTGATTTACTATTGAAATTATTTAATATATAAGAAATATATTTATTTGCAAGAGAATATGTTGATGATAATTGCATGAAAATAAGTTGTTGAAATCGTTGTATTATTTGTTGAATTTGTTGTTTTATTCTTGGTTTCATATCATTTGAAGGATTAAAATAAATATCCAAAAATAAATATAATATATTAAATGCATTTGTATTGTCAAAATTATTATTACATAATACATCAATCCAATTGAATAATGTTGTATTAGTATTAAATTCTATTAATAATTCTTCAACTAATATAAAATATTTATTTTCGCTAACATATTGATGAATAAAAGATAATTTTTCTGTAAATGAAGATACTTTCCTATCAAGAATTTGAATAAGACATTTTGATGCTTGACTATTAATTGTCGTTTGTTCTGGTTTTATACTCTCTTGACAAGCTAATATTAATAAAGTATCAAACCATAATTGTAGATCATCATTAGAAATAGCCAATTCATTTAAATTAATTTCTTGATCAATACGATTGATTGTTGTTCTATTCTCATTTGTTAATAATAAATTATTAAATGAATTTGTTGTTATTACAAATAGAAATTTTAAATGTGTTGTAAATAATCTCAAACAAACTATTAATATATAAATAAGATTTATATTTAAATCTTTCGTTGATATTACTGATAATTGTTTGATAATGTCAAATAATTGTTTATATGTATCGGGATGAAATTCAAATGACATTGATTTATCAATTGAACCAGAATTAAATTGTTTATTCGTATTGATTGTATTATGAAAATTAATATGTGTAAATATAAAAAATGATATAAATTGTCCTGTAAATTGTTTTCTAACCATATTTTTAAGTCGACTATTTGGATATGCTCCAATTAAAGTTAAATGAGCAAATAATTTTGCATCTGAAAATTTTCATTAAAAAAAAACAATAAAACTAAAAATTTAATTCATTGAAAATATAAAATCTAACCTATTGTTTGTTTTACTGTTTTATTATTATTTGTCATCTGTTCATTTTCCCATTCACGACGATTTCCTGAAAATCGATCATTGAATTGTGTTAAAATATTTCGTAAATCATAAACATTATTTGTATCGAATAGAAATTTATTTAAGACAAATAGAATATTTTTCAATGATTTATTGGAAGTTAAAAATTTGTTTAAAATTGTTTCAAACTGTTTTTCTGTAACTCGATTACTTGATGCTGATGAATCTATTATTATTGATTGATGTAAATGATGTGTTCCTGGTAATGCATGTTTTTCAGCAAATTTAAATAGAGTAGAAAGTTTTGATGCTAATGAAGATTGTTGTTTATTATCATTATCATTTTTAAGTTTATTTAAAAGAGATATTTTAAATTGTTCCTTTTTTTCAAAATCATTATTTAATTCTTGTATTATTTGTTGGTAGTCAGTAAGAATGGATGTACATATACTATTCATTTGAGTATTGACTATTTCAAAGTCGGGTATATGTATTAAATGGTATAAATAATTTTGAATTTGTTTAGTCCATTGTTTTGATATCTGATATTTATCATTAATTGCGTTCGATGAAATTTCTGAAGATAAAAATAAACTAACATCTTCTGAACCAATACCAGATACGACTGCAGTTGGACTAGGAATAGAACAATTTGATTCAAGTAAATTAACTATTTGTGAATTGATGCTAGACAAATGTTGACCCATTTGAAACTCGTAAATCTAGAACTGATAATGTTTAAACTATTATTATATTCGTGAAAAAAAAATTTCAAATTATATATTCTGTGATTAAGACGCACAGATGCAAAAGAAGGATTTCAATTGATTGAATTATTTAGATTGAAAATAAAATATGTATGATCTGGTTGAATGTACAAAAAAAAAATACTAGAATTATTAGTAAATCTAACTGAGTTGTTTGATATTTCGTGGCTTCAAGAAATGATTTTTTTTCTTATTTATAAGCGCAAAAAAAAATCTGTATATGTTGTGTTAACGTTGCAAACGAGAAAAGAAGCATGTACATGTGCTGTAACTTTTTTCCTTCTTTAATTTTGTTTTCATCATTCGCAAGGTCAGTTAATGTTTGTTGAAATTGCAAAATATTTATTCATTCAGATGCTTGTTGAATGAATTGATTTATTCATTGAAAATATGATTCATATTGTCGAGATATATGTCAAACTAACCTTAATTTTATTTTCATTACTCTATGCTTGATTCTTATATGTGTATGTCTAACGAAAAATAATAATTGTAAAATATATTATGTCATTATGCATGAAAATAAAAGTATACATTATAGTTAATTGTCGCTGCAATGTAAATGAAAATAAAATTAAGGTTAGTTTGACATATATCTNAAAAAAGCAAAATTCAGTGCGACCAATATTCGACGCTGCGAAAGGATCATTTTTCTACACCAATGAAAAATTCCTTTCTTCTTATTTCAATAAACTGTTCTGCGTAAATTGTAGAGCTTTTTACGTTGCATATTGTGGTATATATTATTTTTTTTTACAAAAACATATTAGTTGATAAAAGGATGAAATAAGGAAAAAGGAATTTCTCGTTCGCATAGAAAAAAAATGATTCTTTCCCAGCGTCGAAAATTGGTCGCACACAATTTTGCTTCTTTTGAAAACAAAAAGTACAGAATTAAAATAAGATTTACTTTGTAAATTGTAGTTCTTTTCACGCTGCATCTTCTGGTATATTTTGTTTTTCTAAAACAACTTATTAAGTGATGCAAAAATTAAATGGAAAAAGGCCGTTTTTTTTGTCCGAGGGAGACTATTATAAGGACAGAACATGGTGTTGTTCGGGCCATATGAAAGAAGGTCTCTACAAACCCCCTAATCGCCCCGAACAACACTATGTTTTGCCCATATAATAGTAGAGAAAGCCTTTCCTCATTCATTGTTATACCTAAATTTAAAAGTTAAATATCTCCCTCTAGGCAAGCCATTACCAGCTAATATTTTAACCTTGTTAGTTTGGCGGTGAGAGCTTTCATTTGACCCGAATATGTGCCACTTTTTCGATGTACAGTACAAACACCTCCATTGTTAGTACCGCAAGCTACAAGTTTCGAAGGAAGCTTGTGTTGAGATCAGTTTTTCGTTAATTAATCGAAATATGCATATCCTTGTACTTTTCATTGATTTGTGTTCATTTTGTACAAAGTAAACCTTTACTTTCTCCGAAAAATCCTAATATCAGGGGGAAGGCTTCTATCACATCTTCTCTTCTCTGATTGCTCTCTTATTCTTGTTTTCCTGACTTTGTATTTATAATTTTACAAAGTTATTTTTATTGAATAATACTAAACTCACGCTAAAAAAACTAACAAAAATTACAATTGACTATATAATTTTCTTTTTTTAACATAATACTCTTTTCAATTAAGTGAAAACTTTTAATCCATGAAGAATCGAGTTATAGGAAAGCTAATAACAAGACATTACTGTAAGTTAACTTTTTTTCTGAGAGTATCCAGTAAATAGCTAAAACTCTGATCCTTCATTTATTCATGTACACAGAGAGTGCCAGATATTGGTGGAAAAAAAAACTTGAGTATGGACTTGATTGAGTCTCGATCCGAAGTTTTATTTTTTGTTCGATTCAGGTCAAAGTTCTGCAGACAATATAAGATAAGAACTAATTGAAATGAGATGTTCTTTTAGTCAGATAACTTTCTTTGATTGTTTTACGTTTTCTTTACTAACTTTTAATGATTATAGATATTGATTCTAAAGATACAATTATGTATAGTGGTCGACTTTTGGACGTAGCTGAAGAACCCAAGAAAATGTTTCTGCCTATAGAAGGTTATGAAAAAATGCCTCTTTTAACATTGGAAGAGGCCATCAAACCGCTTACCGAAATTGTTTCAAATATTGCAGAAAAAGTTTATGCAGCTAAATACAATTCTGAAAACCTTAAGAGCGAACTGACCTTAGATCAATTAGCAGCTATAATGTTATACACAATGGGAAGTTCTTCTGACGAAAAACCATTGTATGCTGCTTTAAATTCGACTCTTCGTTCAGATAAACCTGACAGATCCAATCAACTCAAACCTTGGTTTCTGTATTTAAAACTCTTCATTAGTGCTCTTTCTAATATACCTTCATATCGTGGTATTATTTATCGAGGTGTAAAACTTGATCTCAACGAATTCTATACAATGGACAAGGAATTTGTTTGGTGGGGTTTTTCATCATGTACAAAATCACTTGCTGTTCTTCAAACAGAAATCTATTTAGGAGGAGGAGGAATAGGAACTATATTTATAATTGAATGTTTTACAGGAAAAGAGATTCATCAATATTCATATTATTCTACAGAAGATGAAGTTCTTTTAGCAGCTGCTCGTCAATTTATTGTTGTTTCTCGTCTTAATCCAGCACCACATCTATGGATTATTCAAATCAAAGAGATTGAACCACCATTTCCATTTTTAAAAACGGATAGTTCTATTTCTTCTACTTTTGAAACATCTGTCGTCAATGATACAAATAGTTCATCGACAATGAATGTTTATTCACAATGTTCAAATGCAATATCAAATCTATTAACTTCAAATGTCGAGACAACTACAGATGATTTATCATATAATGTAAAGTTGGACAAAGATACTATGACATATTGTGATTTCGAAGAGATTTCTTCATATCCAAAACCAATTGAACCAATCATTGAAAAGACAGATATAACTGAATTTAAAGAAAATGATTCACATTCTTCAACTTTACCATCTTTGATGAATTCAAAAGTACTTGGAATGCCAACCGAAAATCAACAAGCTGAAGAAAGTATTGCAAGCTCACATAGTACTGGTTACTATAGTATGTCTAATTCGATCGAATGTCATACCGCAATTCCTTTTGAACTAGATGCAGATGTTACACAAACAAAATCGATACGATTTCAACATAAATTAATAACAGTAGAATCAGCTAAAATTATTGCAGAACATATGCTTAAAATTGTTTCATTAGAAATAGTTTATTTTACAAATAATGATTTAAAAGATGAAGGTTTGTCTTATATTCTTGAAGCCATAACTAATCGATCTCTTCTAAACTTATTCATTATTGACAATAATATAACTGATATGAGTGCAATTCTTATAGCAAAATTATTAACCAAAAATTCTCAAATGATACGTATATTAAATTTAGATAGAAACCTAATTACTGCAAAAGGTATAAAATCGATTATTCAAGTTTTACCACGAGATACAAAATTAGGCTTAAGAACATTGAGTGTCTGTGGAAATAAGTTAATCAATGATGAATGTATTGATGATATCATCAATATACTGAAGGAAAATCTATCACTAAAATGCTTATATTTAGAAAAATGTAATCTGTCAGCAGATGGTAAAAAACGACTTCAACAAGCGGCTAATGGAAAGAATTATTGTTTACAACTGTAAACATACTTTTAACTATATTGAATTTTTTTCAAAATATATGAACATTATTGTATTGTTTATTTTAACTATTGATATACAACTATTATTGTCATATAGATTTATATGTGTAGGCAAAATACATTTAATTTTTTCTTTAAATCAATTGATTCTTTGTTCGCTTTTGATTTTATGTCTCTATGAGTATAGTGAACGGAAGCATCTTATGCGTTCGATTAATTCTCGGCATTGTTACAGTTTGGTATAAAACCTATACTATAGATATACTGGTTACAATTCTATTGATCCATAAAGTTTAAGTCACAAATAACGAAAAACAAATGCACAAATTGCAAAAGCATTTCGTTGGCATGATGATTTGAATGATATTTTTAGTCATGATTGTTGTTCTTTAGTGATTTAATGCCACATAATGAACACACACTATTGAAGCGATGACAAAAAGGACGATGCTTGTAGCGTCAAACATTCGACAAATAAATCCTTATCATTGTAAAGTTCGATATCGTTCAAACAATTTTCAGTCATTAGAAAATCGATTCGCACAGAGTAATTCTTTGCACTGATTTTCATAGTAATGTTAGATTTTATTTTTACAGCAATCTGAGCTTAGAACGTCCAGTAGAAATGTTAAGGCTCTGGTTTCTATGAACAGAAACTTTGAGAGTATCACCGTTTAAAACTCGAATTGCTGTAAAAATGAAATTTGCCGTCACCATGAGACTTAGCACAGTAATTGTGCTCTGTATGGACCTAGTTTCCAATGTCTGAAAATCATTTGACCGATTTCGAATTTCTCAAAGAAAAAGATATAGATTTTGAAGAACATACACTAGAATTTGATCATTTGAGATACGAGCATCGTCAATTTTACCATCGTTTTAATGGTATGCTCATTACATGGCAGTAGATTACTATAGGACAAATATTATGTCAAAAAACATCGTTAAAACTAGCATAACAACGAGATTTGGTTTCAATGATACTTGAGTACATGAAATATAGTTGCATTTTTTTCATTTATTTCTTGTCATTTATAACCTAAACTTTCGAACTGGATAGATTAACAACTAATGTATCTATATAGCTTTTCGACCAAACGATAACAATGCTAAGAATTAATGAACAAAATGCGCTATTTCTGTTTATTTTGATCAGTAAAACATATTCGTAAGAGTAATAAAACTTTTGATTCCACAATTCCTGTATTATTGTTGAAACCTGTTCAATTATCATTTCATGTTCATCGTATGATCCATTAGGTGAACCGCAGATCTCGAAAATCCAAGTTCAGGGCCGAACTGACAAATGCTGCTCTAAAAGTAAGAGTGAATATAGTAGCTTTTCTCTTGCGAGATCACTATCAAAATTTCTTGAAAAATGTATAGGATGTGCTAGTCGCAAACTACAAATGATCGAAAAAAGTATTTCACAGCTGCGGAGCGACTATCAGGTTCAGAACAAAAAAATTTCATTGAAAATACTAAGAGTGTGGTTCAAGTCCAAGAATTTCTCGTCCAATAAGCTCTAGTCATTAGCATTCTATCGAATGATTCGAGACCATAAAAGTTATTCTCATTGAAGAAATGTGAAAATCTACTTTCAATTAAATTGATCGTATCAATAATCTATGCGTTCTATATTAATTAATTTATATATGCATTTCTATGTTTCTAAGCAAATTAAATCATCGTCACAAAACACAAAAAATGATTACAATAAAAATCTTGTCTTCAAACTTTTAACTTCCGAAACAAATTAAAAAGCTAGTGGGCTACTATTCTGTCAGAAATAACATGAGATTTATTTAATGATTTCTTTAATAACGAAACGACAAGAGCACATAGTAAACTTGTTGTCATCATATTTCCTATGGTTAAAATTAATTAGAAAAAAAACTATAACCAATAAAAAAAATTACTTCGTCAGAAGAATTTTTCTTTTGTAAAGAAGAGAATATATATTGCATGTTTGATATAAAATTTATAGTTGACGATTATAACAAATTCATGCAAACATACAAGAATAGTACAAGAGTAGACACTTAAAATACAAAGTATTCATACACGGAAATAAAATGAGAATTTATAATGTAGCTGTTCTTGCTAATCACAGAAAGATTATTTTTTTTCGATCTATTTTCATACACATTTCTTAATCATCTTGTCCTCCAGAGATGCAAGACGTTATTGACATACGACCTTGCACCATTTATCAACAGCGTCTGTCACAATCTGCGGAAGAACAGTTCAAGCATAAGTGAGCGTTAAGTTCTACTGCAGATACTTCCACACTTTCTATTAAATTTTGATTTATATTATAACCGCTAACTCTAATATATTCATATCTATATAAGTTTGTTCTAACGATAAACTCTATATTTTATATTACAAATATGATCCGTAAGCATTTTGTCTTTGGCAGCTTTCATTGATTCATTATATACCCTTCATTTTAAAAATATCAATTTTTTCTTCAAATATTTTTATTACACAATGAAAAAATGTGCATACACAATAGGTAAACGATATATTCGTTTCGTTTTTCTTTCTGCTTTCAACAACTGTCGAATATAATATCAAGACAAGAGAAAGATGATTAATGCGTATGTTGTGTAAGGAATCCATAGGTAACAACAATAAAGAACGAAAAAAAGAAAAAAAGGAAATAGAAGTCAATTAGAATAAACAAAGAAAAAAAAAAAAGCATACACAAAAAAGAAAATGAATATGTTGTTTGTTTTTTCCTCTCCTGTTTATTAATAGACACATATAAGATACACACGCACGCACGCACACACAGAGACTTGGAAAAAAAACCGAAGCGAAAACTAACTTCTTCGAAGTTTATTTTCAAAATTTTAAATTAATTATCTCCCGGTGATCGTGATCGACTTCCACGACGACCGCCACTGGTGTTACCAGCAGCACTACCACCATTTCGTTTACCATAACTTGGTGAATTTGATTTCGAATGTGAACGACTACCACCTCTTAAAAACCAAAAAAATAAAAAATAAATCTTGAAAATATTTAATCGTCTCAGAGATCTTAGTGGATAGTTATATCGTCATGCCTCTATTTTAAAGAGGTCGAGAGTAGCAACTATGTTTCTTCATCATCGACAATTTAACTTACCGTCTTGTTGGTATCGGTGAACGTGAATATGGTGAACGAGATCGACTACCACCTCGACGTCGATCTCTACTTACTGGTGAAGCACTTCGGGGACGTCGATCACGACTAAAATAATTATCTATCTAGAGAAAAGAATATCAAATGAAATAATTTACCTTCGTGATCGATCACGTCGACTAGGATCACCACCTCGCCCACCATAACGTGCTTCTTTTTCTCGTGCTCTCATTTCCGATGGTGCTAAAACGAAGCAAAAAACATTTTTTTTTCCTTCAAATTTTTAAATATTAACAAGCTTACTTTTACGATCTCCTCGTGCAAATTCAACTTCAAGTTCTCGACCGAATAATCGATAACGATCAAGAGCATGAAGGGCTTCTTCTACAAGATAAATACATATTTTCACTGTATACATATATATATATATAGAGAGACAAAATCCTTTACCAGCATCACGACTTTCTTCATATTCAACAAAACCAAATCCTTTAGCATCACGTGTATAATAATCCAATGGAAGTGTTATATCAACAATACGTCCATATCGCCCAAAGATTTTCTTCAAATCGTCATAACTAAATAAAACTGAAAGTTATTCACTGAAACCATTGTTTGCTTCATTGTTAGATTTGAACCAATGATGAGTGTACATATATACCAAAATTGCATATCACTTTGGTAGAATGAGTGCTGTTTTTCTTAAACTATACAATTTCGATGCATTTTGACTCTCAAAATAGAAATCCATTGCGTATCGAATTTTGTTACATAACTCAATGTTAATATTTGTATCTCTAGAGAAATAGGGAGTCGACTGGAATTGATTTATATCCATAGAATTGTATACGGATTCTTTTTTTTTTCTTTGTTGACTGATAAGAGATAGATGAAATTTTCATTTAAAATTTAACTCGATCTCTATTGTAGTGACTCATTTTCCTAATTAACGATAGACGTCATTCATCTACGACGCCTGTTCACTTTATATTTGTCACGCAACATTGATTTCTTTATATTGTTTAACTAAGTCGAAGAAGAAAAAAAAAAAGCAATTTTTGGTTAAACTTAATAAAGGCACGGAAAAGCTATGATATGATGCATACGTCTCCTGGTTGTATTTTGTTTTGAATTTCTGCTGATGCTGTCTGGTATATCATCACCACTTTGAACTGAAACGAATCTCCTATATGGAATCAATTGAAACTTGTCTGTATTTTGTATTTGTATGGGAATTTTTTTTTCAAAAATCTGTTTTCTTATTTATTTGAAATTGCTTGATTAATTAGTTAGATTTTTTGTGTGGTCATATTGCTTGAGTATTATTGAATAAAAAGAATGGGACTGAATGTGTATGTGTGTATGTCTGTGATTTATATTTTTTGTTTGATCACGTTTGTAACACACCTTATGAAAGAGAAAAGAAAATAAATGAAAAAATAAGAAGAAAACACAAAGCCATGCGTTTAGCTTAGATCTATTTGGGAATTTTTTTTTTTTGTGGATTTTCACAAAAAAACAGATTCAAAATTAAGAAAAAAAAGAACAAAAATCTGAACGAAAAACTTACCGAACTCTTTCTGCTAGACCACGAACATAAAGTGATGCACTAAGATTTCGTGAGTGTCGACTAGACATGTTGTTGTCGGTAATTTCAATAAATGAATAAATAACTCACAACACACAATAGAAAGAAGAGAAGAGAAAGAAATTTCTTGTTTTTTCCTTTTATTTGACCCCTAAATGCATAAATGCATTATATTATACATTTATTTTTATTGGTTAAATATTTTTTCTATAGTCCGATATGTCTGTCTATGTGTGTCGATGAATGTTAATAATCGAAAGCAACTATGTCGAAATCAATTGTCAAGAAAGCATTAGAAATAATTGATGATGATGATAATAATGAAGAAATAAAATCCAAATCGAAATCCAAATTAAATTCAATTAAAAAGAAAAAGAAGAAAAACTTATTAATAAATACTGATAAATCGATTTTTCAAGATAGAAAACAATTGGCAAAAACATGTTTAACATTAAAAAAAATATCAAAACCAGTTGTATCATCTGATCAAATTGAACAATTAAATAATTATCGATTTGGTGGTCCATCTAAACGAGTTTTACAACAGAAAAAGAAAAAAGAAAAAGAAGAAAATATTTTCACCGAAGAAGATTTTAAACGTTTTGAAAGAGAATATAATCCACCAATACAAAAATCATAAATTGTTTTTTTTTTTTTTGTTGTTTTGTTTCTAGATTTTATTTTTATTAACTAATCATATCTAGTCAATATGGAAAGTAAGTAAATCATATATCCATATAAAATTATTTCATAATGAGAGAAAAAATTAATTCTAGCACCAAAACGAACAATAGCTATGTGTGATACATCATCAACTTTAGCTGAATCATCTGGCGGTCTTGCATTTGAAGTAAAATTAGCTGACTCACCACGTCATGGAATTAGTCAACCACCAGTTCATTTTCTTTCACCAAGTGCAAAAAATAATCAAAATGATTTAACAACACCATTAACACCGGAAAGTATAACGGAAAAATTAAAACGTGCTGAAGAACGTCGACTTAGTCTTGAACAACTTCGTGCTACATTACTTGCAGCAGAAAATAATCGACCTGTTGAAATTAGTAAAATAAAAGATCAACAAGCTGAAGGTACGAAGAGAAAAAAAAAGCTAAATAAAATTAAGTTTTCTTTTTTTGTTTCAGAATTTAAAAAACAAACAGAAGAAAAATTACAAAAAAAACTTGAATCAGCTAAAGAAAATCGTGAACGTGTTTTACAAGCTAAAGTTGATAAAGCTAAAGCACCCATTGAAAAAGGTTTTGCTATTGTTCATCAAAATCTAGCTAAACTCGAAGAAGAACGACAATTATTACAAGAAAAAATTAATCAAAAATTAAATACAGCTGAAACAAGTAAAGTTTTGTTTCTGTTTTGTTTTGTGTATAATTATAGTTTTTTTTAGATCGACAAGAGCAGTTAGATCGTTTAATGGAAAAATTAAATGAACATGATAAAAAAATTGAAGCTATTAAAAGCCAAACAAAAATTGATACAAATACAAATGAAGAAAAAGATTAAATCAAAGCAAAAACTTGGAGATTATATACTTTTTTTCTTCTTCATATTCCTGTGATTTTTTTCTTTCGGTCAAATATTGTTCAACTCAGATATTCTTTCATCTTAACACATATTGTAATAACTCATGTCTGATATTTCTTATCTTGTACAATAAAAAGTTTCTTCTCTTATTAATATTTTTTCAGTATTCAAACCAAAAAAATAGTATGACATCTTTGTGAAAAATTTTCAAAGTATTCGCGGCAAAGAATGTTATAGGGCAGAGTAAAACATTTTATTCTGCTGAAAATTGACTAACAAATCTTGGTTGACTAGATATTTTATTGATATGATCATGACAGCAATTCCGACTTGAAATCGGCTTGGATATTTTTCGACCGAATAATTGAAATTCTTGAGATAACTAGCGAAAAATCGGTGCGTTTACTATATCAATTCTTTCGAGAAACAGTCTATTGCTTCAGTTATACGATGATAGATATTTAATGTAAAAATCATATAACTCTGAGAGTTTCTAATAGTAACAACGTCTATTTTAGTCTGTCACATTTCATCTAGTGTAACTCACGGTAAATAACATCTATACTACATTTTAGCTGATTTTTAAAAAAATATTGATATGATTTCTTTACAATTGCTAATTTTGATCTATTCTTATTTGAAATAATTATTTAACACAGCTGAAAGGCATCTCAAGTCGTGAAAGGATACTATCTACAATAGAAAGATAGTACGTTTTTTATATTAGACTTTCTATTTTAAGGTTTCTTAATATCTATATACTTTCATCACGATTTTATGACGCTGGTAGTTGGCAAGATCATGACAATAGACTAGAATTTTTTCTGATATTCTATAATAAAAGCATGAACTGAAAAACTACTAGATATTGGGATGTTATGAGAGTTGGTTAAAAGTAGTCTAGAAAAGTTCGTTCGAAATTTCGACGTGAAAAATCTTTCGTTTAGACTGAAATTAGTTTCTAATACAGGATCAACTTTTCATGAACATAATAAATTCATTCAGCATGATCCAAGGGTCTAATCATACGATAAAAAAAAATGTCAACTCAATATGTAGAACTGGAACTTTGATGACGACTAGAAATTTGTCAGTTGAAGACTTTCAGGCTCATATCTATTGATTACTAAAATCATGACATTCGTTAAAAACAAGCAACATAGGCAACCTTTAATGCCATAAAAGTCAATAAAAAAGCTCGTGAAAACCTACTAGTATGGTTCCGAGTATGCAGTAACTGAACTGCCATGTCAAAAACATTTGTCATTCGTCTTTCATCTTTCATTTTCCTATACTTTTCTTTGATTGATATTATTCTGTATGAGTACTATTTAGTGATAAAAGATAATACTGATTTCATTGAAAATGTAGAACAAAACAATTGATGCTATGTAAGCATTCAGCAAGCCTCTATACAAAACTGAAATATGAAACACGATAGAATCAATTGAATTTTGAGAAAGAACTATTTGGTGTCATTCATAATTTGTGAAAAACCTCGTCAATGCGTCAATCACAGTTTATGAGAGTGTAGAAAAAGCATTTCGATGTTTTTGTTATGATCTGTGGCATATGGAATCAAACTGTTTCATTATGGGATTCAATATTGATGACAGTTGTGTTTTATCGGGGAGTGTCAAATTACTATTATTTTGAAAAACAAAGATAAAGAAAGAAAACTAAAACTTGCCTTTCATGAGAACATGCACAATAGAAACGATGTTACAATGCAACATTATCAAGAAAATAATAGACTAAACCATTTTTTTCAACATTTTTTGAATACATTAATCACCAGTAAGTTTTTGTACGATATTCTCTATTTTCTCAAAGATGTGTGATGCCTTAATCGAGTCTTGCTCTTTATCATCTTCAAACAGTACTTGCTTGTAGAGATCGTATCGGCTCAGTTTGAATTTTGAAAAGCTTGAATCGCTTTCATCTCTCCATACTTCTTACATTTGTTTTATTTCAGACCAATAAAAGTTTTTCGAATTATTCTCAACGTGATATTTAAAATTATTTTTCTTCTTTATTTATTCATCACTATCTTTAATTTATTTCAGATAACGATATGAAGCTTTTTGATGTTCATAGCATTTTCTTTTCTTAATTCTTATTCATCAGAAATAGCTGATTAACAGATACGAAACAAAAGAATTACATGTGGTTTCTTTCTATTTATCTTGATATATAATTTGAGGAGTCTTTCATCATATTAAGTGTCATAATGTTGTTTTCGATCAATATTATAAAACACAAGTTTTATTCATTTATTTTTATTTATCCTTACAATAAAGAAAAGATAAAGGTAAATTTACACATCTGCTTTGATAAAAAAAAAGATACATTAAGCTTGCCTACTCGATTATTCTATTTGCTACGAATAAAAGAAATAATCCTGTTTTTGCCTTGCAGCGAAGAGCAAAGCAAAAAAAACAGTATACAGTGATACTCTCTGATAAGATGATAAGTTCAATAAGTCTTTTATTGATTTTCGTCTCACTGAGTCAATACGTTGTACATGGAACAATAACGTTGAAATGAATTTTAAGCTTTTTATGCTGATTGATCAAATGAAATTTAGTTCAAATTTGTCGCAAAAAACTTAATTATAACATAAAAACTATGTAAATCGATGTCGCGATTGAGATTCTTTTTTGTCTTAATAGATTTACTTTCTTCGTTCGCTAGTAGAAGAATCATTCTCGAAACTTGAATTTCCTTTATTACAAAATGAAGTCAACGTAATAATACAAAATTAAATTTTTTTTTTCTCTGAACTTTAGTACTTGGATAAAATGATTTATTTATAATAGACAAAGCACTGCTTCATTGACAATAAAACAACGTATTGAAAGTGCGATGCAGTCAGAATCGTGGTTTTGAAGTGTATTATACAATCATATCGAAAATATTAGATATGATATATTTTTAAAAGTTGAGTTTTATGTAACGGTATGAATCTTATTTGATGACATTTTATTGCTATTGTTAAATGATCATATATAATTTTGTTATGATTAAATTGATCGTTTACTTTTTATGCGTTAAAAAATTATTTGTTGCACAATCATGAAGATGTTCATCATCGATAGGAAAGAAGAAAATGACACGAAAAACGATCAGATATTTAAATATCAACTTCATATTGTCAAGATATTTAAGGGCTTAATTATTTGAACGATTATGTAAAACAAGCAAAGGATAATAAAATTCTTAATGTAACATAGTTGAAATCTAAAAAGAGAAAAAGGAATCGTTGAAAAAAGATCAAATGCAATGAAAATTGTACAGACAATTATCAATTTATGTTCTTTATTATATTTACTCTTTATCTTCTGAGTAGAAAAATTTACTGATTCTTTTATCATTAACAATACAAGTTTTGAATTATTCAGTAATAACTCTAGAATACTAATATTTTCTTAATTATTTAAATAATCAACGGAGTAATAGTATTATGTTTCAGACAAAACTTCTTCAGAGTTCTTTTAATACGAACAACTTGAAATACAAAATTATGTAGTTTTAACTCTGTGAAATGCAATTTTAGAACATTTTATTTTCGTTTTGAATCTAGAGTTTGAAAAAGCGAGACTGAATTCATTCCTGATAGCAAGTTAGAGTATGATCTATGTTTTCTTCTACTTTGTGTATTATTATCGTTCTTCATTATTTTTTAACTAAAATGTTCAACTATCAAACTGCATATCATTTGATATAATCTTACTTTTTCCATGCGAACCTCTAATTAGTGCATTATTCTATTAGGTTTTCTTACAAAGTTCATCATGAAGTAATACGAAAAGTGACCATTCGTATTTCTATATTTAAAAATTGTTATTTTTCAGTAAATCGACCTTTTTAACCTTCTAACAGTAGATTATGCCTACAGAACAAAATAGATACTTCGCCTATTTCAATGCGTTTAAAAGATCTATCGTTGAATCGATTGTCATTTAATTAATTTAATTTATAACTTCGGTGAAATATATAATATAAGACAATACCAATAAAGAGAATTGCAATCGAGTCATAGATAGACCATTTGTGGATTTCTGTATGAAACAACACGTTAGCATGACTGAGAAGTTAGAAGTTGAACTTGAAAAGTCGATAAAATTTAGTGCATATGAACGAATGGATGAACAATTGTAGTACCCTACGTAATTCAAACTGGACAAAAGCCACCGATAAATCATTCGAATCAATGTGCGATATACCCAACCGACGGTTTAATCGATCGTTGTTTTTCCGACTTGCAATCCACTATCGATAATGCGAACAAACATGTAACATGAAATATCATTATTTCTTTTCATTCGATTATAAGAAAGAAGTACTTGAAAACGCCAAGAACTTTGTTATATTCTTTAATATTATTGTTGATTTATATAGTTATAGTAAATTATTTCTACTGCTATTTTACTAGACTCAAATATCTCGATGTTCATTGATTATATTACCATATTTTTTATGTGAGTTCTCAACATATCGTATATAAAATGATCTTTTAGAATTTTAGTTGGTTTCGTACAAATTTATGAAATTGTAATATTTCTTTGAAGATAATTCAAAAACTATCTAAAAATGTGTATATCAATTATCTTCAAAATTTTTTCTTAAGTACTTCTTTGTGAAAGCAATAATGTTTATTAATTTGATTTTCTGTATCAATCTATTCTTGATTTAATATAATTCATCATATTTATATTATTCGTTTTAATTTAAGGAATATTTATTTCATACATACATGTCTAAAACTAATGATAATCTTTATGAAATTCTAATTTAGAGAGTAAATCTTTTCAAGATCAGAATACTTTTCTTATGAAAAAAATTTCATAATTGACACAATAGAAAATCTCAAATTTAATTATTTTACAAATGTCATTCAAACACAAACTTTGACATTAAAAACAACGTAGCAATTTTTCTATAATGAAATATACTTTAAAACATCAACTAGCGCATTATAAAAATTGCACGAGTTAATTAAAAACATGGTTTGACAATGACAAAGTTGTTTTCTTTTTCTAAACTTTGTTCTTTCAAATGACTCGACATATTTGTTTATGTTATCATCATAAATACTTGATATATATCTACGGACTGATATAACCTTAGATAGTTCTTTTTTTTTTTTAATTAAATATATTTTTGCATTTAAATATACAAAAACAAGATATAAAGACACACCTAAACAGAAAAATAAATGTACAAATAAAAAACAAAGAAAATATCCGAAGACAAAAACATTTTTGTCACAAGAAAAAAAAAATTCATACGAAAGAAAAAAGAAAACAAAATAAATAAAATATGATTGAAAGAATTAATACTCATCAATCAATAAATGCAATAATTTTAAACTATAATCCAAGACGTGCAAATGCCATTTGTTTACGTAGTTCAATTATTTTATTAAAACGAATTTGAGCTAAATGAAGATTATTCAAATATAAAAAGAAAAGCAAAATATTTTCTTTTCTCTTACCATCACTTTTCACAAGACCTAATTGCACATGACGAATAAATGTAAAAAAGTCACAAACTGCTGCAATCTATTTCAATATAAATCTAATAAGAATAAAGTATTAAATAAAGTGACTTACTCGATTACGTGCTAAACGTGATAATGACCACCATTGACTATCATTACCTAATCGAACACGATAATCACATTGACAAAATTCACCCATCAATGAACAAGTTCTAATAAAATTCAAATTTTATGATATTTCAAAAAAATAATCTAAACAATACTTCATATTTCCTTTTGAATTACATGCTTCCATGACCACATCATTTCTTTCAATAGCCGCTAAAACTCTAGATGAAAGCTGTTAACAAAAAAAAAATTCTTATTACATAAATTCATTTTTTTTTCTCTTACATCAGCATTAGGAAATGTTAAACATGGTAAAATATCTTCATTATAAATACGATACATAAATAAAGATGAATCTCGTTCCATAGATGGTTTTTCTTCCCAACATGTAAACTCTCGTAATAAAGTATTATCAATCTAAACAATCAATTATTATATATATGTAATGAGTAAATTAAAAAATACTAATTCAACTTACACTATTATTAGTTGTTGACATATTAGATGATGAACGACATGAATTTAAAATTTGTTTTAATTCATTAACAGATTTTTTTAATTGACTATTTTCAAGAATAAGTGCATCAATCTAAAGCAAAATCTCTTTTGTCTATTTGATAAGAAATCGATTTTGTTTTTAAATTTACGGTTTGATTTGAAATTTTTAATTTTTGTTCAGCATTTGCTTGAGCATATTTTGCTTGTTCAACCATTGCATGTGCAGACTAATGAATTAAATTTAATACTTTAAATATTATGAAAAAAAATTTTTTTTTTTTTTCATTACTTCAAATAATGATGCTGTTAAATCTTCGATTTCTCGATCTGTATTCTGACGTATTTCATTCGCTCGACGAATTTCACCGTCTTTAGATTTAAGATCTTCTTTTACACGTTGTAATTCATTAAATAATTTTTCCGTTCCTATTGATTGTAAATCATGTTCAAATATTTCTGCTGTTCCCATAACTCCACTATCAATACTAAATTTTTTTTAAAAGAACATATTAATCGTTTATGAAGTATTTTATTTTATTTAATAATACATACGAATCAACACTATGTACATCACTTAAATCATTACGATGATCGAGCATTGCATCAACTAATGAACACTGTTCCATGGTTATTTTCTATAATAAAAAAAAAAATTATTCTTATGTTCGCAATATAAAAAGAAATAACTCAGGTGTGTTTATTAGAGCATAAAAATCTCATTGAAAAAACAATGTGTCGATGTACGAACAAATGTACATACTGATTGTCAAGTACAAACATTGAGTGCTTTTGACGGCGTTAGTTACCTCGAATTATATAATCATTTATCTAAATCTTTCTATAAGAATTAATGACAATCTTATTTACACATGCAACTTCAAAGGGCATGATAAAATTATAATAACGACAATTTTCTTTGCCTTATATTCACGCCTGAATTGTATTGAAGAAAAGTAGATATTCTCCTCTTCCGGTTTATATGAAAACGGGAAAAAAAAACAAACTGCGCATCAAGATTCTATTTCTTAAGAAATACAAGTAAAAGTGCGAAAGTAAGATTAGATAATTGATTCATATATGTTTGAATAAAGTAAATGAAAAAAGTCTTTACTGTATATACAGGATAAAACATGACTAGGACATATGATTAAGTTGATAGCTATGACATAAGTATTTAGATGAAAGAAGTTGTTTATTGTCTTTTATGTACTCACTTGACGAATTCAGCAAGGTGAGCAAATAAATTTGAATAATGTAGGTAAATTGAAAAGAAACAAAACAATAAAAGAGAAGTGATTGTTGCATGAAATGTGACTACTTCGCCCATGCGTTTCTCCTACGCTAGTAGGTGTATCTTGAAGAAAAAAAGAAAAAAAGTTCATTCACCATTCATCTTTGAAATACATAGATGACTCTCCATGACAGTCAACTAAACGAATCTGTTGATTGACTTTTTGACACATTGTATCCGATCTCTCTAATGGCATTAACGCGATCTGAATATCGTTTTCTACGATATGATTAAAAGGTAGCGCAAGATACTCAAGTCATTTTTTGCTTTTGTGATAATTATCAATGAATTTAGGATTTTTATTATTTATTTGACTTGATAAACAATCTAAAATCAAAATATGAATGTTTTTTTAGAAAGTTTTCCATTTTGTTTATATATATATATAATAGATAAAAATATTCAAGTAACAAATATTCATATAGACATAATTTCTTTTTGATTACTACAAGTCATAACAATGCAATGTCATCTATAGACTTTGATCGATCAAAGTTCAATAATATTATCTTTTGTACTGAATTTAAGAACTTTCTATGCTATTGGCATTATTTAGATGGCAGCTTGTTATTTATATGATTTAGAGAAAAACTGATTACTTTATTCGAATGGTACTTTTAGTTCCGTAAAAAGAAAAGAAAGCTTGAAGGTGAGTTCCGTTTCCGGTACTATATTTCTAGAAAAAAACAACAACAATTGATATGCTTTTAAAAATGAAATCGTATTTAATTGATTTTATATTTAATATAAAAAAATGGAGAAAGAAAATTTCCAATTTTATCAATGTAAAAAAAAAAAAAAAAAGATATGTCGACATGAAACTTGAAGAAGATAATCCGATTAGTAGCCATGATGTTATCTGCTAATTTATTACTTATATCAAATCATGACATAGGATACTGTTTTAACTCCTTTTTTGTTAACAATAAGAAACAAAAGAAAAGAAAACCATAAATTATGGCATACTCCCTCTTTCAAACTCATTTGCTTTGCCAATATTTAATCAGTATTTTCACACTCATATTGTATTCATTCGTCATCGCCGTTGTTCTTTTTTTTTGTTGTTATTGTTTTTGTATTCAAATTTCTTTCTCAAAGAATAACAATAGTGGTAACGACGAAGGTAAACTCATACAAAATTCTCTTTTTATTTTTATTTTTCATCAACCTCATCATCATCTCTCAGTGTTTGAGTGATGCTAGCTGATGGCGTCGTCGCCGTGCGTTGAAAAAAAACGAGACGCATTTTGAAATAGAAAAAAAAAGAAAGTCATGTCAAAAAAAAAATTGTTGTTTGAATGATTCTGTACGTTCAAAAGTAAACATCAATCACTTACGTTTTTCCCTTATATATATATATGTCTGTAACCTTGTCAATCTTTCTACTAGAACATTAGATAGAAATATATCAGCTTTGATATGAAAATTTATAATAGTTTCGATTCGTTTTTTTTTTGCAACTTAGAATACTATACATTTATTCGAGGAAAAAAATAGAAGGTACATGCATGAGGAGAAAAAAACTCGATTTATGACTGTAAATTTCTTCTTCTTCTTCTTCTTCTTCTTCTTCTCTTTTTTTTTCGGATTTCAATTTAGTTTTGTAAGCATCATATGTTGTTGTTGTTATTTTGATGCTTTCGTTTAGAAGAACACGCGAAGAAAAATCAAATGTAAACGAATGATGATGCCAACTTTGTTATTATAGTAGAAAAGAAAAAAAGAAGACCTGAATTTTTTACATCGTCATTTCATCAACCTACATTTATAATTATATTCTATAATGTAAATTATTATGTCAAATATGCAAGACGAATCACATACAAAGATTTCTGATGATATAGTTACTAATCCATCATCAGATCATATAGGTCCTTGTCGGCCTTCATCAGCTAAACGTCCACGTGATCCATCTCATCGTAAAAATGTTTCATTTAATGATGTTCCTATTGTACATGAAGTTCCATTACATGATACAATGCGTAATTCGAATTGTGATACATATCGTTCGTGGACATATACTGATGCAACACCATCAGTATCTCTTACTTCACCATTTTCTTCTTCACAAATTCTTTCACCATTCAATTCAACAAATGCTGCAACTCAAAAATTAAATGCTCAGCGTTTCAGTAGTGCTTTATATTCTTCAACAAATAGTACAACAGTAAATCGATTACCGGACTGGATTACACGAACTAAAACAACTAAACCTACAGAAGAAACAATAGAACATTATACAAATTCGAATACACCATTGATTATTGTAAATACACCTGATGAACGAATAGTTAAAAATTCAACTATTAATGAACAAGTTACTTCTGATTATGTAGAAGAAAAAAAACATCCATATCGTACAGCAGTTGTACCAGATGTAGAACATTATCGAAGTCTTCCATTTACATATGTACCATTATCGGAGTCAGCTTCTGCGTATACATCGATATTATCAACAAATGTTTATCCATCAAATCATTCTTCTCATGATCAATTTTCTACTGGGCATACAACACGTATAAGACGTGCTCGTTCAGCTACCGTACCAATAACTGTAACTCATTCCTTAATGCGTAATCATGATAATGTTTCGATTACACCTATTCGTACAGCAGCAACGACTACTTTATCAAATAGTTTATTAACATCATCATCATCATCATCATCAACGTCACGGACAACTTTAAAACCAACAACAATTGCTTTTCAATGTTCACAACCAACAACAAATACTTATCCAACATTAGTTATTACAAATACATCAACTCCAAAATCACCACAAGTTTCAGCACGTTTGAATTCATCACCTGTTCATTCTCGTTTAACATCATCTACAAATCGACCATTATCATCAACAATTAAATATGCTTATTCTCATCCAACAGCAGATTCGACATTAAAATCATCTCCTACTGTATTTCCTCGTTCACGTTCTGCAAATGTTTCAACAACGAAACGTAATATTGTTTCACCTGTTGTTATGCTCGAGGGACAATCAGGAGGAACTAATCATACAAATATATATGCAACAACAAAACGCAATCCTAATATAAGACAAACTTATGGTTCTCATTATATGCACCGTGTTCTTTTACCAGCGAATATTAATTGAAAGAAAATTTGTATATTTATAAATATTTTTTTTTTCTCTTTGTGTTAATTGATTTTTTTTTTCTTCTAAATACTTGCTTAAAACCTTGCACTCATCATCGTGTTGATATATATTTGCACAAGTATCTATATAGAACTAATTTATTTGGTAAATTATCTTTTATCTTCAGTGATAAACAGGTGACTCTTTTAATCCTTCTTTTATTCTATTTGTTGACTAAAGGCTTGCTTACTATATGCTGAATTCGATCTTTGAACAAATATTATACAAAAAAAAAGTATTTAAGCAACATTACGAAGGTTAAATAGAAAGAGAGAGTGTGTGTATGTGTGAGTGAGTGAGCAAGTGAACGAAAAAAAAAAAAGACTAATCATTTCGTTTGTGCTTGCTCATTCGATATGATATGGTGTGAACAACATGAAGTTTATCATTGCTCTCTTCTTGTTTGATCGATAAAATAAGATAGCATTACTGGTGTATATTCCATCTGACTATCGTTCCCATCGTTACTCATAAATTGCATGTGATTGTTGGCTTAAGATACCATTCTCACCATCAATGTTGGCTTAAAGATAGGCAAACGAATATAAATATATATATATATGTGCGTTCGTGTGTATGTGTGCACTATTCGTTTTTTTTTCTTCTTATTCTCTCTCTTATGAGTATATAAAAGCAACTATTTTTTTTCAAAACGATTCAGTCAATTATTTATTTGTCTCAAATTGCGCTCGATCGTGCGAGTTAGGACGGACAATGACAATGAAGACGAAATTCTTTGTTCGTCTGGCTCGTATTATTGGTGCAATATATAAAACGACATTTACAAAAAAAAAAGAAAGACAACTAGACAATCAAATGGTGGTAAGTTTCATAGGTTTTTCATTATAGGTATTGACAAAATACAACCAAAACAAAACACAACCAATATATGAAACTCGTCTAATGTTTAAACGTAATAAATATTCTTATTATCATCCAGTGTATTCACATCCGCATCATCTTATATTTCTAAGAAGTAATTATTAGAATCTAACATTTCTTCAAATGACTCTTTAAATAATGTGATTATTTTAGATGAAATAATTGATGAATTTGATCCAATAATGATGATTATTTTGAGGGTCAGGTCAAATGGAATGGACATGTTGAACTAAAATATTTTATTGTTATTATCAAGATTTTTTTCTTTGTGAATAAAAATATTTAACATGTTTTCTGCTTTTTTTTTGTTAATCAATGAAAAAGACAAACGATTATTGCTTCATAATCTAAAGATTAAGTAGCATTTGTCATTTTTATAGACGTAGATCAATGAGTAACTTTTTGTTTTTTTCATTAAGAAAAAAAACAATCTTCAATAAAGGTCATACGAGAGTTGTATTGTTGTTTTCTAACAAAGTATTGAATTCTCATGTGTTCTTTTTCTATATCTTGTTAATTCGGTGACTGATTTTCTATTATAGTGCGTAAACACAATCTAGAAATCAACCTACGTGTATAAGCATATAATATTTGTTTATAATAATATACGGAATATGACAGAATGTCATACCAAGTCTAACAAATGTGATTATAAAGAGTTAAGCAGATGTTCATTCACAGTCCAAAGTGTTGTCGAGATTAATTTTGCTTTTTTATATTTAATGTAAATTCAGAACGAGAACGTATGCTATGTTGTTCTTTCTTTGTCTCTAGTTTTTCTTAAGATAAATACGTATTCTATCAGACACATCATAATGACACGATTTCCTCTTTCCTTTTTTTTTTTGGTTGCCGTCTTTTTTGTCACTTAGCAAATAATAGATTTTAGATCTCTTATCGTGATCTGAGTACATGTAGATCTATTCATATCTTAGTTGATGACTATTAAATGAACTTTTTTTTCATAGAAAAAATAATCCATGTTTCACTTTTTATTTATTTATTACTATTATAATTAGCTTGAACTATTGAATATAAAAAAAAGACTAATGAGATCAGTCGACACAACTTTTATTATAGCAGACGATGTCGAAGTCTTTCATTTGACAATCTTATTTTATAATAATGACAATGTAGGCTGTGATGAGTAAAGTAGATTTTTTTTTTGTCATTAATAGTCAACTGGAAATAATGAAATGAGTTTATTTGAAGAAAAAAGCAAAAATAAATGCGAGATTCGCTTAAAATTCTGTTGACGAAGAAAAAACCTATTTAGCTAACATCTTTATATGTACTTAATAGTTCTTAATTAAGAAATATACGTGTTATATTCGAAAGATTGTAAATTATTAAAAACTATTCTGTGTAAGAGTGTTCCAAAAATTTTCTAATATATTTCGTTATCTGTTGTTGTATATTCCCATCAGAAAAAAAAAGAACACATAGAAAAATATAATAGGTAGTAGTCAAGTAGAATTTTATTGTAAGGGAAGAATATATAATTGCATGAAATTAGATGATGGTAAGTAGTTGATAGATCATTTTATAAATTTTTTGCATGAATAAAAAAACAATTTTTTTTTCAATTATTTTGTTTCTATTAAAACATTTTATGAATAAATATATACAAGTATAAAGTCATTTTGTGCTCTTCGACCGTATGAAGCATAATTTACATGAATGATAAAAGATTTTTTTTTTTTTGATAATTATGATGTTAAAAATATCTCTATAATATATTTTTTTTAATCTGTATCTCATTTATTACATAAGAATGTTCTATATTTTCAAAATGCATTACCCTAGGAGAGAATTAACTTAGCTTTACATGTAGAAAATAAAAAAACTAGTAGACGTGCTTGTTATGAGAATTTCTTTTTTCATAAATTATCTAGAAAATTTAATACGATAATAGACATTGTTTATTTGATAAAGCAACTAAGTATAAAGAACATAGAAGCTATGTTAAAAAATATCTTCTCGAATATTTGTCATTATGAATTTTGTCGGTCTAATTGATAATCGTTGTCTATTCATTATTATTAAATATATTACTCTATAATATTCTTGTATGAATATCAAGCATTATTTCATTAAAATCTTTTTTCCTTTGTAGTTTCTATTCATTGTATGTATTTCTTAGATTAATTCAAGTATCATAATGAAATATTATAATAGTACAAATGTTGTTACAACACATACTACGTCGTCAATTAATACAATGGATTCTGAAACGAGAGGTTGTGAATCTGATATATTAATATTAATAATGAAAATTCAACCAATATTTTTATTAATATTTGGTTTTATAGCAAATTTATGTTCATTTATTGTTCTTATACAACCACGTTTACGTCGTCGACCAACATTTTCATATCTTGCTTTTCTTAGTTTATCAAATTCATTTTTATCTTTAATTCATGCTTTTTTTACTATTACTGGTGTTTATTTTGGTTTAACTTTAGAAAATCTATCATTATTTATATTTTGTCGATTATTAAATCGATTTTTAATTGATTTTTTAACACATTTTTCATTATTTACATTAACAGCCGTTGATCTTGATCGTTGTCGTACAGTAACATCAAAAATAACTGTACATCAACGTTATAATTATGAAGATAGTATGCGACGAAATGGTTGTGCAAAAGCATTTATTCGTGTTTGTTTAATTGAATTATCATTTGCTTTAGTTTTATTTTTTCTTAATTTACATTGGTTAACATCATATGGTTATATAAAACAACATATCAATTTAAATGATACAACAAATATAACAATGTGTACAATTGCAGATAAAAATGGTTCTCTATCATTTTATGGAAAATATTTAACATCTATTTTACCAATTATTGAATTGATTTTATTTGGAATTTTACCTTTTTCAATAAGTTTTGTTACAACTATAATTATATTAAGACATGTATCAACCAAATATACATCCTTAAATTCTCATAATAGACATTTAAGACATTCACGTCGTCGAATTGAATTACATTTATCAATATTACTTATTTCACTTAATTGTGTATATATATTATTTACTACACCACATAATATATTCAGTGTATATATAGGACAATTACATAGTGAATTAGATAATAAGCATGAAAGTGAAGATGAATTATGTTCAATAGCTTTTACACAAAAAAGTTTAGATTTATTACAACAATGTTATTTTATGTCAACATTTTTTCTATATATATTAACAAATAAACGTTTTCGAGAAGAATTCTATCGAGTAATACAATGTTTTATATTTATATTATGTCGAAATACGAATACAAATAATTCCCAAATACAAATATCAACGTACCGTAATCGAATTCTTAATAATAATAATAATAATAATGGTGACAATCATCATCATATTAATCAAAATTATTTAATAGCACCATCTCGTGATATTTCCGGAAGTTGGAGTTCTATTAGTGATGCTTTAGAAGCAAATGAATTAGTTTCAATATTAAATAATAAATGAAATATATTTTATTATTTATCAAACATTAACTCAAAGAGAATATTTGTTTGTTTTTATTTTCATTTTGTATAATTATTTTAGAAACTCTTTGTACATGCTAGCCGATCAATATTTGAATATATCCTTAAACGAAAAATTCTATACTTAAGGTTCAATCGAACTACTACTTAAAAAGTACTCAGCATGATGCTGTAGAGTCTATAGGAAAGAAAATATAGAAAAAAAAAATAATGTTCATGACAAATTATCAATGACATTTTACAAGAAATTTTTTTTAATGTTATCTTTTGCAAATAGATGGAATGTTTTAAATTCTGTAATTAAACACGACAGTTAATGAATATGTACTTGTATAGAAAAAAAAATGTTGAACTTTGTTGGCATCCATCGATGACTTTCATCTTGTCTTTAATGGGTAGTTCAAGATCACTTCCATTTGTCTTACATACTGCGTACATCATTATAAATTATAGTTATTGTTGTTTTCTTTTTTTGTTTTTGGTTTTCAACAAACAATACCCATTGATAAGTAATTAACAACAACTAGAGATACAGTTGATATTCGTTCGAATCGAATAGACATTGTGTATTTTATTTCTTAGTTTTAAAACGAAACTATCGAATTTGATGTTGTTTGTTTTTTTGTTAGTAATTTTATATTTGAAATCATGTTTTTGTTGATAATGAAATTGAGAAACAATAAGAATTGTTATGATGTTTCGTTCTGTGCATTTTTGTGTTTTTTTCCATTGACTCATGAATTGTATCTAGACTATATGTCAATGAGTAAACACTTGCGGTGTAAAAATAAATTATTATTCATGGATATTTTGGAAGTTTTTTTGTTCGAGGGGAGTTTCATTTTTATTTGATTTAATGTTCATATTGATGAGAAAATAAAAGATAGTAAGAGTGTTTGTATTATTTATTATGACAAAAAAATATTTAAAGCAAATCTTTGTGTTTTTAGAAAGAAGAAAAACTTCTGAGACAATATGATGAACATTAATCACAAGTATAATAATGATTAGATTTTTTTTCTCGTTTTCGACAAAATTAAATATGTATATAATTAGTTTATGAACTAATCGAAGTATTTTATATGATTAGTATTTGATGAGAATATTCATGAAGTTTAAGAAAATATTAACATATATTGTGAATTCTAAGTTGGAAAAAAATTAGCATAAAGAAGAAAAGAATTATTTTTAATCTAGTTTAGCGTGTTTTCTTCCAAAAGTCTCATAAATTCATTATAAACTATGAGTGACATCTATTTGAAAAACTCTTATGATTATTTCAGCAGACTCTCCTATTAAAATTCTCTTTAAGAGTCGAAAAAATTAATGATACATAATTGCTGAAATTTCTTCATTGAAAACAAAAATGTCTGTTACCACGGTGAAGTAAAGGACTGTTATGGCGACATAGCGCATCAATGTTTAACATTCGATAAAGAAAGTTGTATATTTATACCGTTATTTCCTAGTGGTTGTTGATTTCAGATAATTAGTTATTTCATTAATATATATATAATCACGTTGAAAAAAAGAAAATCCAATGGCCGATAATGATAATGATGCACCACAAGTTTATCTGTTAGGTAAAACCTATTTAGCTAACAATCAAGGACAATTTTATATTCGAAATGATCCTATTGTTAATATGGCTGCTGGTGATCGACATACGATTATTGTTACTGAGAGTGGTCGTGCATTTGCTTTTGGTGATAATAGTTCAGGTAGAACAACAAAAATAATTTTTTTTTTCGAAAGACAAAAAAGAAATGTTTAGGTCAATTGGGTCTTGGTCATACAAATAATGTTGACAAAGTTTCATGTATTAAAAGTTTAAAATTCGGAGATACAGGTGAAAGAGTTATATTGGCTGCATGTGGTCGTGAATCATCATTAGTTGCTACAAATCATGGTTCAATCTATGCATTTGGTTCAAATAGTCGTTCACAATTAGGAATTAAATCACCCGATTCAAACACAGTTAATCCTCAACCTGTTAAAATCGATAGTTTTAAAAACAAAATGGTTTGGAAACAAATAGCTATGGGTGCTGAACATTCATGTGCATTAACTGATGAAGGTGTAGTATATGTTTGGGGTGCAAATGATGATGGTCAATGTGCACAACCGCGTAAAAATGATGTAGTGCCAATACCAATGGAACTTCGAGTAGAATGTCAAATTAATGCTATGTAAATATAAAGACAAATAAAATCAATTGATTTTTGCATTCTATTTCGTTTTTAGATCATGTGGATATTATCATACAGCATTAGTTGATGAAAATGGTCATTTATTATTATTTGGAAATAATGATGATAGACAATTAGGACGTTCAATGCCTGATAAATTTGCCGGTCCAATAGAAGTTTCAATCCCAAATAAAGTTAAGGCTGTTGCTTGTGGAAATCAACATACTGTTGTATTGACTGTTAATGGAGAAGTATATGCATGTGGTATGACATATTATTTTATTAATTTATTCTGAATGAAATAGAAACACAAGAACTATTTCTCATGTGAAAATCTAATACAAATAGATAAGACTGAAGTTTGTTGAGAAGTTTATAAAGAAAAAATATAAATGTATATAATCTTTTTTTTTTTCGTTAAAGATTTCAGATATCGTATTAGAATTAGCATTAGCATCTGTTCATACTAATGCTAATGCTTTAGGCATTAGTACTATAGTTAACCTTAATACTTTGATATTATTTGCATTTGAGTTAATTAATACCAATATGTTAGTATTATTTTAAAAGCTAGTATATAGAATACCGACGATTGAATTTCGGACATCCTAAGTTCAGAAGTTTCCAAAATCGAGCAATTTCGTTCGATATTAGAAAGAGCACTGTCAGATAGAGGTGTTAAATTTACCATTAAAATAAAAAATTTTCTTCCATTAAGAAAAATCTTTCAAAAACTTTCCTCGCTGTCAAAATAAAAGAAATAGTCTTATTTTTTGACCTTATATTTAAAGAGATTAAAACAGAAATAAACTTAATATACTTGAAAAAATTTTATATAGAAAACGATTCAGTTTCATTACTGATCGAATATCTGTCGTAATCTTGGACCTTGCTCATTTCCAAAAATATTTCAAATCACACAAAATTTGTATCCAAAGTTCAACAGAAGATATGTTTTTTCTGTAATCAACAATTTTCCAAAAATTTCTCCTCACACGTGTGGGGATACCCAATGATAGATTCTGTACATCGCTTCTGGGTATAACAAAACTTTTGTTCTATTATAGGAAACTTTCGAACATGAACTCTCACAGGTATAGTCGCAATTGGCATATCTATTAGGCTGGATGTAGAAAGGTCGAAAAATGCTCAAGAAGATTCTAACTAACAAAAGACCTTTTTATTGTATGATAAAATACTGATGTTCTAACAGAAATTATGAACAAGTGAAGCAATAAAAAATAGAAAAAACAATCATGTGCTTAAAGTCACTTTTTTTTCCATATTTCTCCTCTCGATCTTTCTACGATACAGCGTGTAGTAGAATAAAAAATAATGCTAGTTTAATGTTAACAGCTTGGCATTAAATAATTCTAATGCAAATAATATCATAGTATCAAGATCAGTTTTATAACTAATTCCTAAAGAATTACCATTATTGTAATACTAATGCTAATCTGGTGCCTTGATTCAACGAGATAGATTTAAAATGTTCCTTGTTTCAACAAAATGTATAGGTTTTTTTAATGTAATAAATAAGATATTTTAGATAATCAAACTTGCCTAGTTACATTTTCGTGCGAAAATAAACATCTATAGCTATGGATTGTTTTCTTTAAAATGAATATGGCAATTAGTTTATGTTTTACACTTACAATAGATTTTCGATTCTAATCCATAGCAGTTTTAGATAACCTCTCGAATACAAGTCAACTTTTTGTGATTCGATTCAAGAAAACAAAGGATCTGTCTTTAAATTTTAGTTTCATTTTTTATACTTCGCTAATTTTACATTACTAGCATGAATATGATATGTGATAAAAATTTTACAGAAAAAAAAATGCCCAGGTCACACAATCGGATGATAAGATCTTTGAAGTATTATATAGTAGAGTTTAGTTTAAGATTTTCATGATCACGATTTTTTGGACGATTTTGTCTAATGTTTAAGATAAGGTGTTTGATTTTTTAACTTTTAGGATATGTAAAATACCTTTCTATAGTAACAAAATGTTGAGATCATTGACCCAATCGTAGTCGAACTCGGGCTGAATCATACTTATCTCTATTAATGAATATTTTCATTGAATTTTAATTATTAGGACATGGTGATCGTGGTCAACTTGGTCTTGGCCCTAGAGTTTTTTCAGCAGAAACCTTTGAAAATGTTCAAGGTTTACCCAAACGTCTCGCAGCTATTGCTGCTGGTGAAGCTCATACAGTTGTTCTTACTGTTCGTGGTGATATGTATGTATTTGGTGATGGTAAACATGGAAAATTAGGTTCACCAACACATTCGAATGAATTTGAACCATGTTTAGTTGACAAATTTAAAACATACAATGTCTTAAAAGTTGTTTGTGGTGGTTGTCAAACAATAATTCTTGCTCAAAAGAAAACTGGTGAACATAAACAATCATCAGAAAGTGAAGAAGATATTGGAAGTATGTTTTTCATGACGATTTAAAGAAAAAAAAAACTATCATATTCTTCATTTCTCTTTGTATTTTTAGATACAACACTTTCAATAACTCAACGTCCAAAAAGTCGAGCACGAAGTATGCGTCATAAAACACTAACTGATCGTACACATACAGTTGGTGATTCAACTGATGCAGCCATTCGTCATGTTCGACCACTGGGAGCATCAAATCATTTACGTGTTGAATCTGATGATGATAAATCTGATAAGGAATTATCTGAATCATTAAAAAGTGCTACATTTAATCAAACACATACAATAACAAATGGTAGATTTCTTCCAACACAAAGTCCAACATTAAATCGTACTGGTTTCCGCACAAATGATGGAGAACATAAACCATTAAGAACAGGTGCCTTAGATCGTACAGTTCGTCTCAATAAAGATACAGATGATTCAATGAAAACAAATAATCGTTTTCCATCAATTGATAAATCTTCTACACGTAATACACGATTCGACCGTACAAGTCCACAACCTATAAGAAGAAAAGAAGATTCAGATGAAGACAAATCATCATCGGAAGAAACACCAAAACCGTTGACTAAGAAACCTGAACGATTATCCCCACCATTACGAAATGATCGAAGAAGTTCTCCTATATCACGACGTAAAGATGATAGTGAAAGTGATGATAATAAATTTAGACGTCCATCTCCTGTTAAAGCACCTATGAGTGAAACGTTAAATCGAAAATCTCGTACACATAATCGATCGGATGATGATGAAGAAGAAGACGAAGAAGAAGAAGATAATCAGAGATTATCTAGTCGTCGAAACAAACAACCACCACCACCAACTGTTGCACGCCGAAGTTCATTACCACCTCAAACACGTTCAGGAGCACCTATTTCATCAGCACGCGACGGAAATCAAACCATTGGTTCAAAACCAGTAGATGGTGTTCGAGGTAGTTTTCGTTCACCAGCAACAAAAACACTTGCCAAACCAAATACAACAACTTCAAATGTTGAAACAACAAAAAAAGAAACACCACCTGCTCCACAACCAGGTTTTTTTGCACGACTTTTTGGTTCAAAATCAACATCAACACCATCTCCACCACCATCACAGCCGGCAAAAACACCAGCAACAAATACTAATTCAAGAACATGTTCAATTATGTAGCAAAGAAAGCTTTCAATAGAATCAAAGCTTGTATATAAATATATCTATGTTGGTTGTTAAAAGTTGCTTTTTTCTACTATTTGTATGCTATTAAAGAGTTTGTTTGATTAAGTTTTCATTATAGAAGGTGAATGTACTCATTTTGGGTTTTTTCTTTTTTTCTATTTAGTTTCTTGGTTGTTGAAATCAAAAATTACTAACATAAAAAAAACTTAATTTTGATGATTTTTCAATCAATTTTTAATACAGTGGAAATAACAGTTCACGAATAAAGTAATAAATAAAATTAGTTGTTAATCTTTATCTAAAGAAATAGTTTCTTAATTGGTTAATACAAAAACTTTTTTATAACTAAGAAACAATGAAGTGTGAGTGTCATAGAAGAGAATAGCTTACGGTGCACATTCACATCTATATTCCATATCTCGAATAGAGCTGAAAATAATTCAAGTCGTACTATCATGTATTGAAAACTGCTGGTTACCCACCCATACTTATGTCAAGCAAGACGATAGAAAATCGATCGTTCATAGATGCATACGTGCTTGTGATTCAATGTGACTACGAAATTCAAGGTGAATGTAAAGCAAATGAAAAAAAATACTGATCTTTTTTCTACACTTATTCGTAACTGTTAATGCACATTTATCACGAATTTTTTTTCTAGCATCTATGTTGTTCTTCTAGTTTATGTAAAACACAAAAAAAATCGAATCAATGGATAGATTTCGTTTCAGTGAAAACAAGTTCTATTTGTTACTCTCGACTAAGGCAATAAGTCGTTGCCGATGGATTCCATTAGCTCACCATCGATACCCATTTTATTGTTTAGTAAAGTCAATTTGACGTCCTTGCTCAAAAAATGACTGAAAATCTGTCTTAAGAGATATCACATTGTAAAGGAAAACAAGAAAAAAACGAAATCCGAACTCCCAGAGTTGAACTGGGGACCGTTAGGTTACTACGATATATAGACCATTACAGCCTACCGCTCTGCCAACTGAGCTAAGTTTGGATGCTCAATGAAGATCGAAATAGAGGCAGATTCCGAATTTGGTCCAGTTTATTCTAACGAAGGAACATTTCCAACTGTTGAAGCGTTTTCGTGTCGCGACTTAGTGCATCTCGTAGATTTTGATGAACGATGTTTACTATAGAAAGTATTCGTGTTCATGGCTTCTCTCTGAGGAGATTGAGTGCTTTTAGTTTTACAACTATATGAGCCATCTTATGATTAAAAATTGACTATCTCATATAATACAAGTTGAAACGAGCTGTAATTTTTCTCAGATATATCTGTGCACATGTAGAAGATGATACAAAAGTATAAGCTCAAGTAACCTTAGAAATATAGAATGATAGATTTTATAAACTATTGATGTCTATGCTGCATATTAGAATTATGAGATACATGTTTGAAAGCTTTTGAATATTGAGCGATCATATCATCATGCAATTGTATATGTTGCAGAATTCTAGTTTATCATCATAATATATTTACTTTTACTTGTATTCTGGTGTTAAAAATACAAATCGATTGCGCTACTTGCCGAAAGAACAAGAAAAACAAACGAAACTACTCTATATCTCATAGAGTAATTACTTTAGGCTAAACAATATAAACTATTATGAAAATGATAATCGAAGAAAAGATATTGAAAACACAAGTTATATTCCGACACCCACTGCAGCAGATAAATGGAGAGGATTCACAACAACGGCCACTTGATGCAACATTATCAATAGAGCAGCAAACCTCTTTGGCAAATTGAAAAAGACCTGAATGATCATCTGGAAATCCATTTGAATGTCAAGTAGATTTTAACATTCATTGAAATACAGGAGCTCACAATCGATTGTCATTGAGAGATTGACTACGAACGATGTTGTTAAGTTCGCTTAATTTGATATCAAGGTTGTCCAATTGTACTCAATTAAATATACGACGTGGGATATACTTGTGCTAATTATAGTACACGTCAATAGACGAAATTTCTGTCGTCGTGTGTTTAGGTATTTCAAGTGGGCGAAGTCCCTTAATATTATTATAGATCCTGGTATTGTTGCCTTGACCTTCCAACAAGAATCGGGCATGAAAAAAGTATTACCAGAAAGGCATGATCTTGTCATTCTTTGACGGGGCTAGTTGTAAGTTTTTTTGATTTACTATACGATTAAACAATATTAGAAGCTTTGAACAGATGAGCCTGAAATATACAAAAACCACGAAGACATATTTTCATATCACATTCACTTGAAAGAAAAAGCTTATTGTATGCGAACAATTTACTTTAGTATTTTTGTTCAACGAACCTAATGGCTCTTTCAAACAAAGGAAGCATGGTCGAACAAGTTTCTCACTAAGGCTAATCCATGGCTGCATTGTAAATGAGTGCATTATAGCATTTTTTGAACGAACAGACGAAGCAGTAGTCTTTTCTCCTTTGTGAGAAAGTGTACGAGTTAAATATAAATCAAGTTGGATATCAGATTGATCTGCACTAATTAAGTGATCCGGATCATATTCCGGTAAAGACTTACTCACAGTCCATACAAACTCATCTGTAGAGTATTAGATTTCTTCTTGATTTGATACTTCTCTGGTTGTTATCACATGAAGCAGAATACAATTTCTCGTTTTTCAATTAAAAAAGTCACTCACTTAAGTTACTTTTCTTAAAAATATTTTTTTGTTGTGTTTTAAAATTAAATAACCATTTTTCTGAAGCAACACCGTCATGTAATGATTCTTGTTCAACTTTCTCTAAACCTCATCGACCTAAGTCAATGTCATCTACGAATAGAACTGATTCTCGAGTTTGTTCAAATTTGTGATAAATATAATTATTTATATTTTCCAGTTTTTTCTTTTGTGTTCTTCCATTTTCAATGTAAGAACGGAAATGAGAAAAATATGTGAAACGTATGACACGTCGAAATCGATGTTCCACACTCTTCCACGATGGACAACGCTATCGTGTTACAGGATCGTTTTCATCATAATATTGAATGATCTACTTCACATAATCCAGAGAGTTCTAATATGTAGCATAGACATCAATAGTTTATAAAATCGATCATTCTGCATTTCTAAGGTTATTTTAGCTTATATTTTTGTATCATCTTCTACATGTGCACAGCTATATCTGATGAGGGAACGTTCCCAAGTGACTAAAAGCTTTTGAGCTCATATGTTGCCCATTAGGTAGGGGACCACTAGATTAGAGAAACATCCAAAGGATTCGTGCCCATATTGAGATTTGACAGAGATATCGAATTTTTAGTGGATTTTTTCTGCTGGACCCTAGTTCTACAGCAAAATCATATTTTCGAATTTCGACCTGAAA